AGTATCGACTACCTTATTACTACGGTTTATGTAATATCCTGTAAAAAAAAGGTGGATACAAGTCTCCCTATTTGATAGTTCACCCAGTTTAAAATCGTGGATCTCGAGGAACACACGAATTCTTTCGACCAATCAAAAACGTGGAACTAGTTCGAGAGTCTCGTTCAGGTGGCGTGTCGACGCGCCAAACACAGCTCCAGATTATCACGCGTAGTATTACTATATATACACGACCAATCAAAAACGTGGAACTGCTTCGAGGGCCCTCCGCTAAGGTGGCGCGCAGAAACCAGAGAAAAATTGAGACCACCAAAAACAGGCTCATTGGCAATCTCCCTACTCATCTCTGGTAAGAGTGTGAAGCCACTTGACCTGCGTGAAGATGGCCGGCCAACTGTTATTTTTTAAACTTTTTTATTCCAATCGTTTGATAGTCGTTTCATAGTGTTTGATAGTCTTTTAAAACCGTTTGATAGTCATTAGTATTTTCAGAAAATCAAAATCAAAATCTGGTGTGAAGTTGGCCGGAACTTTTTTGTTTCTAACCGGGTTTTGTTTTTCCGGAGCTCAATCGATGCAAAATCGTTTGATAATTGCGAATTAATTAATAAAAACGTTTGATAGTCCATCGTTTGTAAGAAAAATGAGAAAAACCATATGCGAATCAAGGATCCCAATCGATACGACACAATCGATTGCTCGATCGGTGTGTCCGTTGAATTAGACTATATTGCAAACTTTTTCTACTTCCAATCGTTTGATAGTCGTTCGATAGTGTTTGATAGTCTTGTAAAAACGTTTGGTAGTCAATAGTTTTTTCAGAAGAGCCAAATCGATGTACGATGTGGATTGACTGTCGTTTCCTTGCTTCTTGTCTATAATCAGCTTTTTCAAGACACGTAATAAGCCAGGTTTTAGGCATTTCTATAATTACATAATAGTCGTAACTCAGCAATTGTTGTCATAAGTTATTTTTACAATCAACCAGAACTATACTTTCCGATGATTCTTTAGTAGGTAAACAGAAACACAGTCATAATACTGTAAGTTTATATCGGAACATGGACGCCTATATGACGTCAGCTTTCATGGCTTTTCAAAATGGCTTAATAGAAGTCTATAAACAATGCAT